AGAGAGTTTTTCCTTTAGGTGATATTCCTTTGCCACACTGCGTTGTTGAATCTTACTGTTTTGGTGTCCACTAATCTCCTGGCTCAGGGTGTTGGGTGACTTACCAAAGATGTAGGATCTTGTGGAGAAGGTTCCCTCATGTTCTGATCTTTTTGTTGTTGTTGTTGATCTTGGAGGGTCAGGGCCAAAATATTGGTTGTTTTCTTAGCCCAGTTACCTTTCTACTTCTGGCCTCTAAACTTTAGTTGTTGAACACCCAGAAGAGAAGATCAACAACACTAACATTGTAATAGGAGTAGTGAACTTAACTATTATAATTTTGCCTGGATATGAAGCATTTTGGACTAAAAATATTAGTTAGGAGACTGTTATTATTGCCAATCAGGGTTGTTCTAGTGGTTGAATCCCTGTAGAATATTAACAGAAAAAGGCTTTAAATCAAGGACTATGCACACTATTTTGGCATGACAATTGCAATGATATTATTTTTGCAATACACTTGAATGTGTACCTTGGTATAGGACAGTCATTGTTAAATGCACTCACCCAAAAAAACACAAGAAAAAAAAAAAAGCTCTTTCGTAGCTATCTTTTGACAGGATGCCATCAAAGGAATATAAATTGGCCTACGAATGTACCTGTTATCATAGGTGCCTGGAGCATGAAAGAAAAGCAAAAATTTGAATCAAAAGAGGTTATTACCATAAATAATATGTTGGAAGACCTGTGCAATTAGAAGACATGAATACATTTTGTACATCAGAAGAGTAGCAGTAGTATGACAACTATATGAAGCCTAGTGTCTTGCAATGTAGCTTGATACCAAAATTACCTTTCTAATAACACCTTTGTTTAACCCACAAAATTTAATCTTTAAAAAATGACCAATGTAAACATACTACAATAACATATTTAGAACTTAACCAATATAAATATTTATAATAACACGTTTAGAGTTTAACCTTTGGATCATAACCAATGTAGCCAATTTATAATGACATATTGAGACAATATTTGTTAGGGTGTGTCTCCTATAAGATTATGAAAATTATTGGGGTTCTCATCAGTGAACAAAGACCAGAATAATTGTTTTCTGGGCAGCTGCTCCTTTATTTACCTAGAGGAGTCCCACTTAGTAGTCTCCCCAGACTTAAGGGTCTCTATTTAATTACTTTGAAAAAAAGATTTTGTTTTGTTTTGTTTTTGAGACAGAGTCTCACTATGTAGTTGTGACTGACCTGAAACTCACTATGCAGCCCAGGCTGGTCTTGGACTCACAGTGTTCCTCCTGTGTCATCCTCCCAAGTGCTGGGATTACAGGCATGTGCCGCCACACCCAGCTAAGAAAAAGTTTTTTTTTTGGTAAAAACCAGTTGATACATTAGTATATTGTTTGTAGCCAATAAAAATTCTTTGAGTTATTTTATGTAAGTGACAATACACGTTACTTTTGTAAAATAAATCTTTACCTCACTTCCATCAGCTAGCAATTTGAGGGGAAAAATGCATGCCTTTAACTTAATAATATTTATCTATACATTGATTTAATTATAAGTGAATATCCTTTAAGAAAAAAAATTAGAAGGCAAAAAAGGGAAAAAAATCATTAAGCTCAAACAAACAAAATAGATGTACAATTGGATAGACAAACATAAGACAATTAATTTATAAAACTAGAGTGCACCCAAATATATTTGGCCAAAGAGAATGATAATAGCCTTTTATAATCTTTAGGTTTATAATTATAATAAGACTAGTCAAAACTTTTTATAGGTCAAATAATTCTGGCTTGTTCTATTGTGAGCTTTTTCCATTGCACGTTAAAATGGAGGTATTAACTAGGACACAAACAAGAATGAGCAAGATGTCTAATATCACTTGAGGATAGATGGTAAGTCCCCTCTACGGAATACAAAATACAAAGTAAGTGGTACCTGGGCTCCATTATGAATGCTTTGTTTTAGTTCCTTAAACAGTTTGAAGTCAAATACCTGGTGTTCAGGAATAAACTTATTTTGGTTGTTTAGATCAGCCCTAATTGTTACAGGGAAGCAATAAGGCCCAAGAACATCCTTGTGAGTAGCTGCTTTCTTAACTAGTTTTTCATATTTAGACAAACAAGGTGCAGGACGTTCCATATTTAAGTAACCTACTGGTGCAAGCAAAAGAGTATCTGATAAGCTTCATTTGATTCTCATCTTTACCAAGAGCCTGGAACACAGCATGGATTGTGTCTGGAAAATACAGCATTTGTACATTTGTACATTTCTCTTCCTCCTCCTGACTGAGGACAGAATCCTTGGGAAGGGTAGTGTTTATAGGACTCAAAGCTGGGCCCCAATCTGGAAAGGTCTTAGTAGAGATGGGTTCTCCTTTGTCATGACCTGTGTTTAAATTTTCACCAACTGTATTTCAATTTTCTAAATCTAAGGTTCCTTTGCTTTTAGTTAAGGTGTCAGTACTAACTTGAGCCCCAGCCTGTTTAAGCACCTTACATAAGAGTTGGATGTAATTCTGCTGCTCTATCAATTGATTCTTCCCCATTATCCTGTCTACAGAGACTTTGTGAGTGACACACTTTCTCTCTGGACACCTTTAGAGTTTGCCTGTGGAGTCCTCTCCCTGCCTAACATATCATGCATCCTTTCCTCTACTCTAGTGGAAGTTCCCTCTCAGGCCTGCTTGCCCCTTGTTGGGTGCCAAATATCGGAGGGCAACCAATCCTCCAACTGCCTAGAAAAGGTAACAGTGAGGGATAAAGAGGAAAAAGACACTAGAGACTTGTGTAATTTGAGAGTATATGGAGGGTGAGGAGGCCAGTTCCTCAGAGCAGGCAAAGACAAAGACTCTCTGAGGTAGCCGTCATTTATTGGGTACACACAATAATTGGATTGAGTATCAGGTGACTTAGAGTAATCCTATGTTGATGTGGACCTTATGCTGATGAAGCTCTTCGTTCACAAGATTCTTACTTTGAGGAGGACTATAAGAAGAGCATTCTTACAATAGTAGGTGGGAGTAGTTAATTTGATATGGAATTTGTCCCTCCCCAGGTAAAACCTTTCTCTTACTACTCAGTTTTCAAGGAACCAGGATGGCTTTAGATCATGTAATCCTGCCCTTGAGTATCATGGCATCAGGGGACCATTGGGGTCTCAGCTGTGAGTGGAGGCAAGAATGATATTATGTCTTGACATGCCATAGGCAGGAAAACTAGGCCTACTCATAATTTAATTGTGAAATGATTTTCCCCCCAAATTATGTAAAATTGCTCCCAACATTTGGAGTCTGTGTAAATACTTAGTTTAATATCAATGCCTGAGTAAGGGCTAATGAGATAGATTAGGGCATGGCAAAAGCTGGCCGGGAAACTAGGCCTGACCTGTTAACAAGATCTGAGACATATGCACAGAGCAGTTCCCAATGCCCTGCACTTAGATTTTTCTCATGAGAGTTCCCGCAGGTTTTCTATAGAATGGCCTATACCTGACATTAGCCTGAAGCTCAAGATCCAAGCATCACCTCAGGACCTATATGTAGAAGTTCTTTCTGGTTGCCATGAGCTTTAGACAGCATGAAAGGACACACTGATGGCCTGAAGCCCAGTCCTTTCCAGGGTATGTTCCTCTTTTCTGTATAGGCCTAACAAAGAAGGTGGTCTAAGCATACAAGGGTTATTGTAGGCACAGAGTGTACAAGGTTTGCAAAACTTTTGGGTAGTCATTGCTAGTCCTAGCCCTCTGAAAATTTGAGAGACCATATCCAATGTAGGATCTTTTCCCATATGAAAAGAATCATGAAGGGCCTTTATAGCTTTGCAGTGTGTCCTTTGAGGAAGGACTAGTTTATTTCTCAAATATTGCCAAACCCCTTTTTAGTTTCCCCCATCTTTGCAGGTGGGATGCACTGGTTCTGATTGTTCCTCAGGAACTGGAAATGTGGCTAACGTCTTGAGAAGCTGCCCTTTTTGCCTTTCTACCAGCCTTTTAATTTCCCTAGGAGACTTTAAACATGTATTTTGGGTGTCCTATGTAATGAATGACAGTGACCTGCATAGGAAAATAGACGGTCTCCAGAAATTGTAGTTTCTTGCTTGTACTTTAGAGATGATTATTAGTATGCCCCTTTCTTTCCAGGACAAGTAGCACCAGAAAGGCATATTTGGAATCTGTGTAAATATTTAGTCATGGCCAAGGATGAAGCTCAGTGGTATAGTGCCGGCCTGGCAAGTGCAAGGTCTTGAGTTTGATCCCCAGTACTGCAAAAACAGACAAACAAAACAACAACAACAATAAAACAAACTAAAAAAAATTGAACCTAAAATATCTATCTATCTATCTATCTATCTATCTATCTATCTATCTATATTGAATCTCTCACCTTTTCCTAATATCAATGCCTCAGTAAGGCCTGTGAGCTCTGCTTTTTCATCAAAGGGGTTTGGTCTCAATGACCTACTGTGAACTGCCAATTGCATAAGCTGTCTTTTGATATTATTCTTGGGCAAAGCTACTTCCATCAGTGAACTATACCTCCTCAGGGTCTTAGAGGAGCAAGTTATTAATGTCTTGCCTGTTTGCATAGGTCTAACAGAGCAACTGTTCACAAGAGTGGCTAACTTCTGAGCCTGAAGGCATGTGTGAGGCAAGATTAAGAGTACTGCATGCCTATGTATGATAATTTCAAGTTATCCAGGAGAGTGGTTTGATGTAGTCCCAATAGTTTAAAGTGTGCTTTCACCTTTGCCCGAATTGAAGAATTGCCTTTGTTACGGCTTGTGTTTAGATGTCTTCTCAAAGCATCATGCAATCATAAGTGGGTTTTTTCAGAGGTGGCTGGATCTAGAGTGTATGATGCTGGGATTGATTCATGGTATAATGCTAGGATCAAGGGCACTAGGATTAATAGTGTGGGTGCTACCCACCCTTAGTATCCTGGATAAGATATAAGGGATGGAAAGAGCTGTATTTGTCTCTTATTGCTTTGCTACCTTCTGCCAGCATGAATTTTTTCTCCTCTGCGATGCCTGTATGCCGTGCCACTCTGCCTTGGAGCCAGCTGATATGGACTGAAACCTCAACAAACTGTGAGTAAATAAACCTTTTCTCCTTTAACATTAGGTATTGATTATTTTGTCTCAGCAACAAGAAAAGTAACTAAGGCAGCCCTCAAATCTTTTGCTATCAAACCTCTTCCTAGTAAGGGAATAGGACACTGTGGCACTATTTAAAACTAAGAGTAAAACATTTGACCTTTGAATTGACAAATAAATGTATGTATAAAGAAACTCTGTCTATGGTTCTCCTAGACCCAATTATGACTATAGATCTAAAGTAGGATTTTTCCAAAGAAGGAAGTTTGAACAGAAGCCAAAGTAATAAAATTGCTTATACATGACATCCAACTCTCCTAGACCCAATTATGACTATAGATCTAAAGTAGGATTTTTTCCAAAGAAGGAAGTTTGAACAGAAGCCAAAGTAATAAAATTGCTTATACATGACATCCAAGATCACCCAGGGTTTCTCACAGAAGATGCAGATGTCCATGGACAGGGCATTATAGGTTGTCATGGGCTCCTTCAGTTATTTTTATCAGAATGGGAGATGAGGGTTTTTGCTGGCCTAGCTCCTCTCTGGGAGTGAGGACAATTAGTGCCTCAGTTAGTGACTCAGTGCCATGAGTCAGACACATTGGCCTCCTAACGCAAAGAGCAGGGTTTGGTTGGTGACTTAGTACAGTTGTGTGTCCAGCATCCTTGATTGGCCCTGGGTTTTCCCCTGGGCAACTTGGGTGTGCTTAAAATATCACTAATTGAGACAGCAATAATTTTGGTCTGTCTTTTTTCTTAGCCCTTTTCTTTTTGCGTCATCTAAATCCTGATTGTTGAACACAGAAAAGGCCATGTCCAGCAATTGGGTCATAGAGGTTTAAAGATCCATCTGTAAACTACCAGGATCTTTTGAAAATATCAGCTCTCTGGGGTACTGATGAAAACAGGTGAGATAGACACATATCCCCCTGAAAGACAGGTGAATGTCTGAAGACAGGATAATCAACAATATCAATTTCCTCTTCCTTGGAGGCCTCTTTAACTATCACAATTTTCAGACATGTTTAGAGATAAAGAGCCATAAAAGCCTGAACACAAGAGATTTCACATCACATTCCTTGCCTTTTGCTAAAAAGAACTATCTGAAAAATAGATGTAACTGAAAAATTGTAATTTATACTGCTATTTGTTATAAATGGTGATGTGAAATCACTCGAGGTAAGCTTTTGTGAGGAGAAAGAAAAGTTTATTCCAGTGAACAGGGACTAAACCAGAGATAGATTTAGCAGCTAGGTGGGAAAAGCTGTGTTTATTACACCTGTGTGGGGATGGGTTACATAGGGAGAGAGAAATAGCAGCAGCTGCCTAGGAGAAATTTTATCTATGGGTGGATGGGCTAACATCTAGAGACAGATATTAGCAGCTAGCCGGGGAGCGATTACATCCACTTGTGGATGGGCTGACACAAAAAAATAGAATTAGCAGATGGGAAAGGAATTAGGCTTATATAGGTGTTGAAAAAGGAGTTTATCATCAGAATAAATGTTTATGACAGAGTTCAAAGGCAGGTAGCACAGGCATATAGACAGTCACTGGACTTCTCTGCACCAGGGTGATCATATCCTGTTGTTTGCAGGCATGTTTCCTGTGGGGATTTCCTTCAGGCCAGGTGTGACACTATTCTATACCCATCTTTGACTCAAACAATATTACAATAGGAGATAAGTTGTTCTTCTTCATTAGCTTGTCCAAAATTTTCAGGATGCAGCCTAATGGCAAGCTCTCTGAGATCTGTAGAGTGTTTCTCATGGTGCGTTTGCCCACTGAGTGCTTAGAGAAAAGGGTGGAGCCCCTTAGAAACTCCCAAGAGATCAAGGTGAAGCTCCCCCACACCAGGGATTGCCTTAACCACTCGAGAGGCAGTAAACTTCTAAGAGATCAGGATGGAGCCTGCTGTGGTACATGCTCGTGGACATGTTCAGCTAAAAGAAGCAGGGAATTGAAGATGTGGCCTAAACAAGAGTTTATTTTTCTCTGTTAGGAAAGACCCTCAAGTTAGGAGTCCAGCGATTTAGCATTGTCAGGGGTAATATGATTCTTTTTCCCCTCTTGGTTGAAAGATGGTGCCTGTACCCAGTGTTGGGCTTAGGTTCTAGGGCTGCCAGAACAGCACAAACTCCCCTGCCCCTGACTTTAGCTTATATCTCATTGGCCAGAGCTCCTCATGTGACCACCCAGTGTAGGGGAGGCTAGAAGGGGAACCCTTGACCACATAGTTTCAGTATTTGGAGACTGATGGAGATAAGCTCTGAATTAGGCAACTTCAAAGTATATTGTGAGACATTCTTTCCTCTCAGGTCTTGGTTGACTTGGAGAGGAGGGAAACAGGAGGACTGGTATTGCAGACACCACTAGGACTCTAGGGTCCACCTGAGAATGGGTCCATTTCTACTAAAGTTGTGTGGGACCCTAGATCCAGCCATATTGAAGACTGTACTCTTGGATGTGTTATACAAGCACAATAATAATAATAATAATAATAATAATAATAATAATAATAACAGCAGTAATTACAGTTTCAGGAGTTTTTGCTTGAGCCCTCGTTAGCTGGGCCTGATCTCTATCTTTGTAAGAGAGGCCTGTGGCAGGGGAAAGAGCACTAAAGTTTTGAGTCATTGCACCCAGATACTAACTCTTGTTCTGTGGTGACTTTGCTTGGCCAAGTCATTTCCCCTCTCTGAATTGCCCAGGCTTCGTTCATAAACTGAGTTATCACTGGAGAGAGCCTGGGTGGCTTGTGAAATGTGCTGTCACAGATCAGCCCAGAATCATAGCCTTCTTCCTCCCCCTCATCCATTCAGGTGAACATTGATAGACACAAGTGGTGAATTCCCATGGGGGTGCTATGGTGTGAGTGTATGAGCTCCCCAAATTCATACTCTGCTCTGATCCCCCATGTGATATGAGGCCTTGGGGCTGTGATTGGGTCACTGTGGAGCTCTGGTGAGTACAAACAAAGCCCTTGGGAAAGAGCCCTGTGAGAGTTCCTACCCCTTTCCACCATGTGAGGACACAAGCAAAAGGCTCCATCTCGGAACATCCCCTCACTGAGCACCAACTTTGCCGACTCCTTGCTCTTGGGCACCGAGCCCCAGAGCTCTGAGGCATAACTTGCAGCTGTTCTTCAGCACCTGGCTTATGGTCATGCAGTACAGCAGGCTGAACACACTAAGACAGGGAGATGGTCAATAAACAGAGGAATAGAAACAGAAGCCCGTGTCAGATGGTCAGAGTGGTGTGAAGAAACCAAGGTAGGGGAGTGAGGAGGAATGGTGCATTTTTACAGGGTGCCCAAGGAGACCTCTAGAAGGTCAGGTGTGAAAGCCAAGGCTGGCAAGGCTACCAGCGGACAGTGAGCCAAGCAGAAGGAATGGCCAATGCAAAGATGCCAAGTGTGGTTTTAAATGACCTGAATGTGGGACACATCCAAATGAATGAAGGCACTTATGCACAGCAGCCTGGGATGTTCCTCTTACCCCAGTGTGGGATGGAAAAACCCCATTTAAGAAAACAGGAAATTGGAATCCACCTAATGGAAGATATCAAAGATGACTATTCTGAAAACTATAGTATTCCGAAAAAAGAGATTGAAGAGGATATCAGAAAATGGAAAGACATCCCTTGCTCCTGGGTAGAAAGAATCAACATAGTGAAAATGGCCATACTTCCAAAACTGCTCAATAGAGTCAATGCAATCCCAATTGAAATCCCAGCAGCATACATCACAGAGCTTGGAAAAACAATCCAAAAATTCATTTAGAACAAGAAGAGACCTATAATAGCAAAAGTAATTCTAGGCAATAAAGACAGGGTAGGGGATATCATAATCCCTGACTTGAAATTATACTACAAAGCCACAGTGAAAAAAACAGCATGGTACTGGCAAAGAAACAGATCTGAGGACCAGTGGAACAGATTTGAAGATGCAGAAACAACTCCAGACACACTCAGACACCTCATCTTCAACAAAGGTGCCAAACACCCTCACTGGAGGAAAGCCTCTTTAATAAATGGTGCTAGAAAAACTGGGTTTTAACTTGCCAAAGATTAAAACTAGACCTATGTCTCTCACCAGGCACTAAAATTGAAATGGATCAAAGATCTAAATATTAAAATAGAAACACTAACAGGCTAGAAGAGAGATTTGGTAGAACTCTTGAAGACATTGGTGTAGGAAAAGATTTTTATGAACAAAACCTAAGTTGACCATGATCTAGCATAAAGAATCAACAAGTGGGATCTCTTCTTATTAGAAAGCTTCTTCACAGCAGGAGAAACAATCAACAGTGTGAAAAGACAACTTACAATGTGGGAAAAAATTTTCACCAGCTCTTCCTCAAGGTCTACTATCTAGAATATATAAAGAACTTTAAAAAAATCAGACCTCCTAAATTTAAAGACCCAATCCAAAAATGAGCATCTGAAATGAACAGACATTTCTCAGACAAAGAAGTAGAAATAGAAAATAAACATATAAAAAATGTTCAACATCACTAGTCATTCGAGAAATTCAAATGAAAAAAACACTGAGATTCTACCTCATGCTAGAAAGAATGGCTGCTATCATGAAATCAACCAATAACAAATGCTGGCAGGGCTGTGGGGAAAGAGGAACCCTGCTCCACTGCTGGTGGGAGTGCAGACTGGAGCAACCACTGTGGAAACCAGTATGGAGACACCTCAGAGAACTAGGATTGGAGGTCCCATTGGACCTAGCTAATCCCCTTCTGGGTACCTTCCCCCAAAGAATTAAAAGAATCACACCACAGCGATGTATGTGCACCCATGTTCATAGCAGCACAATTCATGATAGCTAAAACTTGGAAGCAGCCCTATTGCACATCAACAGGAGACTAGATAAAGAAAATGTATTTTCTAAAAAAAAAAAATGAGAATCAAGACTTGTCATGTAGAGGTACAA